AGCTAAGACCTCTGGTGTAAATCGTCTTACTAAATATCGCCGCTGCGAAACCCCCGGACAACGAAACGATATACGAGATCTCGAAACAGCTATGCTGGCACTGCATGGGAGAGGCGGTGCAATTCCTGTACGGCCACAACTTGGTCCGGGCGAGAAAAATGGAGCTGCCACTCGTGTGGGATTCTCAGCTGGCTAACTACGCCCGGTGGTGGGCCGGGCAGAGGCAGGAGGACTGCCAGCTGGCACACTCGTTCCCGGAAGACGATTTCAAGCTCGGCGAGAATATATACTGGGGCAGCGGATCCACGTGGACCGCCATGGATGCTGTCAGTGCTTGGGCGGAAGAGGAGAAGTATTATTCTTACAGGAGTAATAGCTGCGTTGATGGGGAGATGTGTGGCCATTACACGCAGATTGTGTGGAGGAGTACGCGGAAAGTCGGCTGTGCTCGTGTTGTTTGCGACGGCGGTGATGTGTTTATCACTTGTAATTATTATCCGCCGGGAAATTACGTCGGCGAACGGCCGTACTAATCTCCGCCGGTCGGAATATGTTGCTCGTTATGTGTTTGATTTTATGCCTCAATGGGGCTATATTTGAGTTTAATGGTAAATTACAACCACCCCTGAGGTTATGGTTAAATTACGAAAGCCCCCTCATGTTTGGATAATTACAACTACCCTCAACTATAAATCTTCTTACACGTCCAGCCTTGCAGTTTCTAATTTGTGGATTCTTCTTGATTATTTGGAATATTATTAATTTTATAATCCGTTTTATTTCATTCGAGCTTCATATTTTGAAGCAGAATGATCATATATAAGATGTGTATTTTTTGCTTGTATATATCAAATTATGGTGCATCATAAATTGTATCCTTACACAAAACAAGTACAAACTAGCTAGAGCACATTCTACGAAATCTAAATGATTCTATTGTATTTGACACCATAAGGGTGGATGTGTGAAAAAAATTCATAGTTGAGGGTAGATCATGTAACTATCCAAACTAGAGGAGATTTTTCGTAATTTGACCATACCTCAGGGTGGTTGTAATTTACCCTAAATTTAAATATCATGAAAATATATCGGACAAAATGTACTTCGGCCCCTATTTTTTTTCCATTTTGACACTTCACCCTAAAAATTCAGAAAAGAGATAACCCTTCAAAATATTGTTCTGGTTGCCGTTTCTCCAAAAGCTAATTTTCGATGCAGATCGTGCAATAAAAATAACATTTAAAAGGGGTAATGTGTAGATAATAAATGTTTTTAAGTTGCAACGTGCAACAAGAATAACATATGAAAAGGCAACGTGCAAAAAAAACACTCAATTTCGGTTAATAATCAATTGAAATTTTTCTATTGGGAGTTGGGACAACGTTCAACAAACATAAGGGGGGTATTTACTTTTTTTTTTTTTTAATTTTGAGGGGTAAAGTTCGAAAATAAAAAATATTATAGGGGTGACATGCAAATTGCCCAAATATATATTCCAATTTTAGATACAGGATTTCCAACACTCTCGAATCTGTTGCCGAGGTCTTAGGATCTTAGGAACAAACAAAACGATGACCATATTATTTTTCACAGGTAGTAACAAACTCCGTTCACACAAACTCCGGCGCCTAAGAAAAAATGTCTGCAGAGAAAAACGTCCACGTGGCCGCCTTTGCGTTCCCGTTCGGCTCCCACCCAACGCCGCTCCTCCACCTCGTGCAGCGCCTCGCCGCCGCCGCTTCCCCCGCCGTACGCTTTTCGTACTTCAACACCGCCGGGTCCAACCGGAAGCTTTTCCCGGCGGCGAATCTGCTTCCCGGACACGACAACATAAAAGCATACGACGTGGAAGATGGTGTACCGGAGGGGCACGTGTTCTCCGGCAACCCACTCGAGCCCATCGGGCTTTTCATCGGAGCCACTCCCCAGAATTTCAAAAAACGGTTGGAAGAGGTCGTCGAAGAAACCGGATCGAAGGCCACGTGTCTATTGACGGATGCGTTTTTGTGGTTCGCGGCGGAGATGGCGGAGGAAATCGGGATACCTTGGGTGGCGTTCTGGACGGCGGGCCCCACTCCGATATCTCTTCATCTGAACACTGACGTCATCCTCGCTAAATTAGGTCAAAATGGTGAGTCAATAATTTTCATTTTTCCCTAATTAACTTCCAATTCTTTTAATTTCAAAAATTGATTAATTAATATATTTTTTTATATTATATCTGTTATAATTGCACAGATGACAAACAAAATCAGGACCAGACACTTGATTTTATCCCAGGAATGTCAGCCGTACACGTGGCTGATTTACCCCAAGAAATCCTCCACCTAGACACCCCATTTTCCCGCCTTCTTTACAGCATGTCACTCGCACTACCACGCGCCGCCGCCGTAGTGCTCAACTCCTTCGACGGAATAGTCGATGCCGCCGTGGAAAACGATCTCAAATCGAAGCTCCGAAAAATCCTCAATGTCGGCCCCTCACCCCATCCGCCGCTCAATGAGGAGGAACGAGGCGGCGGCGACTGTCTATCGTGGCTAAGCAACCACCCCGCCGCCGCCGTGGCATACATTAGCTTCGGCACAATGCTGACGCCACCGCCGCCAGAGCTTTCTGCTCTGGCGGAGGTGCTGGAAGAGAAAAAGATTCCTTATCTATGGTCCTTTAGGGATAACTCGAAAAGGCATCTATTGGAAGGATTTTTCGAAAGAACTAGCTCGGTAGGAAAAGTAGTGGAGTGGGCCCCACAAGTGGAAGTTCTGGCTCATTCTTCGGTGGGGGTGTTCGTGACACACTGCGGGTGGAACTCGGTCGTGGAGAGCATCACGGGCGGCATGCCGATGATTTGCCGCCCGTTTTTCGGCGATCAGATGATAAACAGGCGTCTCGTGGAGGATGTGTGGCGGATCGGGGTCGGTGTTGAGGGCGGATCTTTTAGTGCATCGGGCTTGGCGAAAGCATTCGATGTTGTTATGTTTGGAGAAAAGGGGAAAGAAATTAGGGGTAATATTGGAAAACTTAGGGAATGTGCTAACATTGCTATTGAAGAAAATGGAACTTCAACTCAAAATTTCAAGTCCTTGGTTGGTCTAGTGACATCTTATGATCAAGATTAGAATATTTAATTTAATCCATTATTTATTTATTTATTTTCAATTAATAGGTGTAATTGAGTTTCAAGTGTAGAATTTGATGTTTCAATTAACATAATTTTGTTACACACATTTCAATTATATGGAGAATTTCTAATCAGTATATGAATTGTTTATGTCGATGATTTAATTTAATTTAATTTAATTTTGAATGAGAATTTATTCATATTAAAAATAACTAAATTGGCTGGATTATTTAGATGGACAATTAGAAGCCCAGCCCATTAATGTATGGGCTTAAAAGACAAGCTAACACTCCCATTAGATCACATGTGGGCCCGTGGCTGTAAAGAGAAGAAAAGAACAGAGGATTTTCCTTTTTTTTTTTTGAAGAGGAGGATCTAATGCTCCCACGCGCCGCCGTTGCCTCTCCACGCGCCCGCCGTCGAAGCCCTGACCGGAGGTGCTGTTGCTGTTGATGTTGCCGAGGATCACAGGCTGCGCTGCCTCTCGGTTTCAATTCCCACTTCGAAACCTTTCGTAAATTCGTTTATATAATTGTGATTATATGTTTCGTGATTTATACTTTGTATATGTTTGATATTATTCGTGTATACGATTAATTAATTGCCAATCATGACACATGCTTGTTTATGATTTTATTTCACGAACGATTAAAAATATATATGCAATTAATTAATTCATATATGCTCGTATGTTTATTACATGAACTATCGAATTCTATGGAAAAAAAATTGTTTTCACTGCGTATACGCGCATCGATTCCCAACAATCTGCATGAGTATGACTGAATTTCATCAAGATTAATTACAGACTCCAATTTAAAAAAAAAAAAACATTTAGTTAAAATTTAATCCATGTAGCTACAAATTTTCTTACAAGATAATTAAAAAAGTAAAGTACATAAACATTATTCACACAATTTACAAACACAATTATTCTCTTCTCCACAAATATATATATCCCACCCTCTTTTATGAATTGACTAATAACAAATTTGAAACCCTAATTAAAGATAGTACTGCATGAACTGCTATATATATCCCATATTACCAAAATCCTGATCATAAATTCCTTCAGACTGATGATGAATCATAGTTGCCGCAGACGACGAATCTTCCCACGAATTCGACGATGTCGAGTTCACATCAAACTCACCCGGCCACGTCCACGCAACGGCATTCTCTCCCTTGATCAACCCATCCATTTCATCCTTAAAACAATCAAACTGATGATCAGCCGCCACCTGGATACTATTATTATTATTATTACTATTATAATAATAATTCCCTGTCTGAAAAAATCCAGAAGTTGATTTGTTGTTGTTGTTGTTGTTGATCAAATCATCGTCAACTCGATCACTTTCACAGAAACCCCGATGAACTATTCCACCATCCGCAGGGCCCACGGTACCCGATTCTTGAATACTAACACCGATATTCGTTTCTTTATTCAGAGGAAAGATCAAGCTGTTAATTTGTTGCTGCATGAGAATGTTGTTTTGATTGTGGTTGATGGAATTTAGGGTTTCGTTGATCATTCGCTGTTGGAGGGGACTGAGTTTCGGCCAGAGGGATCGGTTATTGTACGACGAAAACGGGTCGTTGTCGTTTTGTAGGTGCATGTGGAGCTGTAACCTTTCAATGGCTGAGCTGCTCATGAGATAATTCGGCAAACTATGATCGTCGTAATTTGCGACGTGGTTGTTGTCTTTCGGCTGGTTGTGGATCGAGTTATTATTAATGTTCGACGCTCGATTATTGTTGATTGTGTTGTTGTTGTTGGATTGTTTTCGCCTGCCGAGGAGTTTCTTCTTCAGCCTAGTGTTCCAGTAGTTCTTGATGTCGTTGTCCGTTCTTCCCGGAAGCTGCGCCGCGATTATCGACCACCTGTAAATTGATTTTATATATCAGTCTTTATGTTATAAATTGATGAATGAATAATTCCTCAAAATTGAAAAAATAATTATAAAAAAAAAAGAAAAAGAAAAAAGATAAAATTTGATTAGTCCTTGATCAGAAATTCCATGTGCATGATGATCAGTTTTCAAACAAAAGCAAAAGGACAAGAAGTTTTCTGTGCTTATGTTTTTTTGTCTGTGTTTTGAGAGAGAGAGAGAGAGAGAGAAGGAAATAGACCTGCTGCCTATACTAATGTAGAGGCTGCAAATAATGTTGTCTTCTTCATCAGTAAATCCACCATGTTTAAGATTAGGCCTCAAGTAATTCAGCCATCTCAATCTGCAACTCTTCCCACATCTCTTCAGCCCTGTTGAATAAATAATATTTCAATCATCAATAACATATACATACACATACATATGTATACTGTATACATGCATACAGATATATGTATGTATGTATACCTATTTTCTGGGGAAGAGCAATCCAGTTGCCACCAGTTCCATAAGTGTCAATATAAGATTTGAGTTTAGCATCTTCTTCAGTTGACCATGGCCCCTTCTTCACGTTTGCTTTGTCACAGCATGGCGCTCTCCCCATCTTTTCTTTTCTTCTCTAATTGATTACCAAATCTTTATTTTTATTTTTCTTGATTAATGATTATATTTGCTGAGGAAAAATGTCAGAAGGGAAGACTTCAATTTATAGGTAGGAAAAAATGATGATTGTGATACTTATTTGAACAACTAAAAAAGTCTTACCTTCCCCCCGGCCCCTTCTAGGGTCTCTCTCTCTCTCTCTCTCTCTCTCTCTCTCTCTCTCTCTCTCTCTCTCACACACACACACACACACATTTGGATTAGTTCACTGATGTTATTTTAATTGGTAATGTGATTATTGAACTTACGTACATAACATGACAAAGAAGTGGACAGAATTTCTCTCTTATGGAATATTAAAATAATTATTTGCTTTTTTCTTTTTTTTATTAGGGTTATAAGAATATTTAATTATGCCACAGCAAAAATCAAGAAAGAAGAATCCATCCCTTCGTTTTGTCGTCAGCTTCTCCGAAATGTTCGATTTTGAAGGGGCATTTACGTCTTTTTTTAAGCAAGACAATCACTTTTAACTATCAGCTAGCTTTTTAATTTACAATGTACAGATAAAAAGACTGTAAAGCTCACATGAAAGTGGATTTTAACCTGCATGAATTTAAGCAAAAAAAATTATTAACACATTTATTAATCATAATTAGGCCAAAAAATCGCGATTATTATAATTTCGGGTTTCGTATCACATGCTGCCAGCTATTCAATCTCAAAGACAACAAAAATATCTTAGAAAACACGTTTTCTGATGTCACATTTGATCAAGAAAGTTAAAATTACAAGCAAAAATACATTAAATTAAATTACTGAAAAAAAGTAAATGCAAAAGGCTAAAGTGTTAACTTACTGTATTCATCTTCTAGTAACAACAAAAATTAAATACATATATAATTAAAAAAAATAATAATAAAAATAAAAAAAATATATAGTGTCATGTGAATCTTATCAAATATGTGTGTTGAAATTTCGTTTAATCTTCGAGTTAAAATTTCTCGCCAACTTGTTTGAAATATCGTTGATTACGGCATAAAACAATTTAGTTAGTCATGTTGGCACAAATTTGTGTTTGCTACTTTAAGAAGACACCCTAAAACCTAACAACTTAATTGGCTAGGGTTCTAAATATTTAATCAATAATTTGCAATTAATTAAATACCAAAATTAAAAATTAAAAATTAAAAAAGTTATGGATAAACAATTCAGAAAACCCTAAAAAAAATCAAAAGTAATTAAAAAGGAGGGAGCCCCATTGATTGACCTTGGTTCCCTAGCTAGTAGAATATATTTTAATTTTAATTTAATGAAAAGAAAAGATGGCAAAGAACCGCACTTTGATAGAAATTAACAAGGAGAAAACCATCAAATTTTCAAAAAGTTTGTAATAAATTAATTGACTCACATCTTTAGGAAGAAGTAAACATTCTTCTGCTTGTCTTTCTCTCTAGCCCCAAGATTCTCTCTCTCTCTCTCTCTCTCTCTCTCTCTCTCTCTCTCTCTCTCCATTGACACTAAATATGCATACATCAGCAAAGAAGACCAATCTTATGACTTTTTTCTTTTTCTTTTTTTTTTTAAATAGGAGAGCTGGTGAAAGAGAATTATTTTTCTTGATAAAAAGATGAGCATGGGTCACACCCATTGGCTTAATTTAAAAATTAAAGTCTGATCTATTTATTTAATTATTTATAATGTGCAAGTAATTTTCAATATGTTTATGACAAAAATAAATATATAAAAAAAGAATCTTGAAATTTGACGTTGTCAGCAGTAAGTATTTAGACTTGGTTATAGTGACACTTTAAGGCGTCGTAATAGCCAATTTTTGTAGTAGTAGTAGTACATGTAACAATTTCAACTAGCTTTTGACAAATTGAAGCCCAATTTGTAACTCAGTTAATAATTAATTATTAGGAAAATAAAAATATAATAATTACTACTGAATTCAAATAATATTCACACAAAAATAATTTGACTTAGTTGTTGAGCTATGGCCCTCCATTTTGACATTCAGAGTTACCGTACGTCTTTTCAAGTACTGAAGAAATACAAATGCGACTTAATTCTTTTATTAGTAGCGCTTTTCAAACAAAAATTTATAGTAGTTTATAATATTGAGAATTAGTTGATTTTTTTTCTTTGTAATTATAGACCAAAAGTCACTCAATATAGGGCTAAAAAATGTTTTTTTTTTTAAATAATGCTCAATTACATATTAATTTGAACATATACATGAATATAAGATATAAGTGAATTTTATCGGTTAATATCTCGTCATATACTTCCATAAAAAAAAATTAAAAAAATCTCATCATATACGTATATAGATAACTTCTCACTTTACTACATTCGGATGTAGTGTACGTGAATATATATATATTTCTGTGGTGGTAAACTATTTAGTGTATTTCATTTCATCGTGCGTAATATCTATAAAACGTCGACGTGAATTGATCTAGGCTTGAAATTTAGTGGCACCAGCATAGGGCAGAGGGGCCATGGCCCCTCCTCTATTAATTTATATAAAAATATTTAAAAATCTTCAGAATTTGTTTAGTACCCGAACTTAAAATCTTGGCTCCGCTAATGCTGATTTGGACTATAATTTATTGGTAAATTATATTTAGAAAGTGTCGTAATCACAACATTGAAATCCCAAAAGGGGTAGGAGACCTTGTAAGAAGAGAGGGTTGACAAAGATAACCACAAGACAATTATTTGTCCTAAGAAAATGTTTACATCAATATTCTTCGCTAATGACTTTTTCTTCATTTCCTTAATAAAGTAATTAATATATTAATCCAATAATTAATATATTAATCCTGCTGTTGTTATCTTGAATCTCACTTTATGTAAAGTGATTCACTAAAAGACGCTACAAACAGACGCAGTAGCTGAGACCAAAATAGACTCATAATTAATTAATTCCTTAATCTACAATTAATGTCAACCCCCTTTCTTTTAACAAATCCCCCCCACATCTCTTTGTTGGCATCCAAGAAATTTACTTGCCCCTTATCCCCTTCAAATTAAACCAATTAAATTTCTTTTGGTTAAATTACAACCACCTCCCTGACGTAAAATTTATTAACAAGAAAACCCCTCATTTTTTAGAAACTATATCCAACCCCCTTAGTTTCAACTTCCGTACATCCATACCCCTACAAAAGGGTGTTAAAGTAAGAAATATACAAATTACAGAAGTTGGATGTAATTAGGGGAAGTGAGGGGGGTTTTCATAAAGGGACCTTACATTAGGGAGGTGGTTGTAATTTACACTTTTCCTTTCTTCCCTTCGAGACATAATATTGGTGAGATTTATTAGTAGTATTAGCATAAAACTATGATGCTTACTTTGTACTCACATGATACACAAGGCACAAATATTTCGTATACACACTCATTCGATTTTCGCCAGAAATATTAGTCACAATTTCAAGAATTACCACGAGTACGAAGTTCTTCCGATCACAACATCACAAACCACACACGCGGAGGTTTTTTTTTTCTCGCACAAGGACAAAGATCCATTAGTATATTCTCATATCTATTCGACTTCGTTCAAAAGGAATCAATAAAGCAAGATTACCAAATGACAAATTTTGAAGAAGAAAAAACTTCCTATAATGTTTTATTAAAACCAGAATCATATTATCTAAAGTCTCTCCCTCGTTGGACCACCACAACACATTACCTTCTACATCCCAAAAATCGAGAAGGTTTAGGGTGCGAGATGAAAATAGAGTCAAGTACACATAACTTCGGAAAAATGTACAAGAATATAGAATAATTAAGCGTGGACATTATTTAACTGCATATGGCACCGCCACTTGTCCTATCACTGCTTTTTTCGATATGTATATATATATCGGCCCTACCAGAAACGGGAGAACGTCCACCTGGACTTGTAATAATAGCCAATGGCCTGCGTTATTCGACCATAATAAAAAAGATTAATAATCAGAAATATACATATATATATAAATCAAGATTGAGAAATATCAGTCGAACTTACAATTTGGCAATGCAAATTTGTTGGTCTTCGCATAATGTTAAGAGAGTAACTTCGCCATAGTAATATCATTTCTGAAGGCATATATTATTGTAATCCATGAAATCAAGAAAATAATAAATATATATATTTAGAGCTCCTGGATGAAGATAAAACTCTTAATATGGATTATATTATTATTATTATACTCCCACACAAAAGCGAAAACCCGTCTTAGTAAAAAGAATCATTTCAGATTCATAGCGGCAGCCATATTTCTCAATTTCTGTGCAATTTCCGGAAACGAGGGCCGAACTGCTGGATCAGAGTCCCAACTACTTTCCATCAATGATTTCCATTCGGGGTCACACCATGTCGGAATTTGTGGCCGCAGTGTGCTGTTCACTATTCCTCCTACACATGTGTCAATTGTCATTGTGAAAAATTACTTCGAAAATTGAAGGATTGGAAAATCAAGATTTCAAAAAGCTTCGCACTCTTGAAAAAACCCTGATGAAGTTCTTAGAATATATTTCAAAGAGCAAATGACAGCTTCATGTGACGATTTAATAACAAGCCCATTCACTGTTTCTTCTCTTTGAGACAGTGAGAGTGAATGAAGTGATTAAATTACACTTACCGATTATGGAAGCACAATGCATATCTTTGTAAGGCTCGTCACCAGTAAGCAATTCCCACATGACAATCCCAAATGAATAAACATCAATCTGGTGTGCAATTGAGACACTACG